CCCCAAAACCCCAAAACCCCAAAACCCCAAAACCCCAAAACCCCTTGAGTTTACAACATTATTGAAGTTAATGCTTGGATAATGCAAGGGTTAAACCTCATTCAAACTCTGAGAGTATTTATCATTTACAATTTCAATATAGCTGAGACTTAAGAATTGTTAATCTCCACTGATAATCCAAAATGATCACTGATAGTGCCATACTTCTTCCCCTCTAAAATAAATTTCTCAACAGCTATAGTGTTCTCCCGAATATAAAATCCTTTCTCTTTTGTTAAAAGCCGCTGGCTGTCTAAATCATGAGCATGCTCATTGTTTCTGATGTCGCTTTGGAGGTGATTATCTACTGCTTTAAAATCTTCAGAAGCATCCTTCTTCATATCATTTCGGTCAAGAGCAAAGATATAATCTAGAGATTGCTCAGTCATGACATCTATTTTACCCATCAGAGCAGTATCCACTGGAGCTTTACTCCCATCATCAAGTGTGAGAGTTCCTGCAAATGTTGCTGGAGCACCTTCCTCGTCACCGAGAGTACTCTTAAGGTCAGTAACATTAAAAAGGCCGTCTAAGGATAAAATCTTCATCATAATTTCTGCTTCATAAAGACAGTCAAATCCTTCTTCAAAGAAAATGTTAAACCCAGGATCATTCTTTGCATAGCTTTCAAATTGCTTTTTCAGATAAGAGTTGAACCTTCTGTTTGAAATATTGAAGTCTCCCACAAGCAAGATCTTATCCTGCGCTCTCATGTTCTTAGTCTTCTCTTCAATATATCTAGAGAGGTTATGGATTAAGCCTTACTCAGACAATTGCTTAAGTTGATACATTTTGGTGTCAATTCACTTTTTGTATAGAGCGAATGAAGTGTAGTAATTTGCTTGTAAATGAGTGTTAAAAAGGTAGAGATAATTTCCATTCATTTCTATTTTCGTAAATAAGATCCCTTTCTTCGCAATAGAGCAGTCTCCTATTGATTTTACAAACGTCTCTTCATGACTCTCGATGATTGGGTATTTACTAAGATTGACGAGACCGCCATCTGTTAAATACTTTTCAAAATACCCAGGCTTGCTGCTGTGAAAGTAATGATCAAATCCAAACTTTTTGCTGATTGTGAGAAGAATAGGTTTGTGACTATTAAAACCGCTGAATACTTCTTGGAAGCACATAATATCAAAATTATGAATGACTCCTAACAACTCTTGAAGTCTCTCATACTTGTAATCACTGTCATTGGTCTTAACAACTGGTCTCAAAAACATATTTATTGAGAGAACCTTAGCAGCATTGGTGTCTTTCCTTTTAGGAGATTCAAGGTCTTGAGAAATTGCTTTCTTTCCTTTGCTGAAATCCTCTTTTTCCAAAGATTCCTCCTCATCAAATTGCCGTTGAACAGCTTTACCAGTCTCTGCTTTCATTTTGCTATTATTATTAATTTGTTTGGGGTTTTGGGGTTTTGGGGTTTTGGGGTTTTGGGG